CACACACACACACACGTACACCTGTGTTTGACAACCAGGATCTCTTTACACCCCCTTGATCAAAAAGACTGTCATTTAAATTTAAGAGCTCTTTGAGGCCTTTAAAGACAACATTGCTCCCTGAGTCCTTTCAGTTGGAACTAGAACTAAATGGAGAGGCTTTTAGATGATGGGTGCATTAACCAACACGGTAGCTTTCCATTATCAGTCTCACAGAGTCATCATGCCAGCCATTATCGACCAACCAACAACATAAACCCTCACAAGAAACATTTGGCCATTCTGCAGCCAAATATTTTACTTACATTATTCAAGTTTAATCCCTTTTTGCTTACAACTGAGAAAACAATGTGGTTGTGCCCACACAGCTGCTAACTTCTGCAGCTAAATAAATACAAAACAGTTGAAAACACATGAATTTGCACAACACACACACGTGTGAATGCACACTTCACACAATTCAACCCCCACTGCAGACAGACACACACAAAATCACCTCCCCTGTCTATCACATCAACCTGACTCTTTTTCTCTCTTCTCCTTTTCCACATCCCTCTGCCTGACACTAATCCAGGACTGAAAATCCCCTTCAAAAGCACAGTTTGCAGATTGTGTTTTACAGGCAGGCTTTGTTATTGTGTCATTACACATAAACAGTCTCTGCCTCCATCTCTCTTTCCTTCCCTCTCTCCTGCCACCCCTCCCTCCCTCTCTCCTCTGCAGTGGGAGCAGAGCCACTGATTAAATCTCTGAGACAAAAGCTGCTATCCTCTGAATATCAAGTATCAGCCTTTCGCCAGGAGCAACACTGACAAGGGAGAGGGAGAGTGGGAGAGGGAGAGAGGGAGAGCGAGAGGCAAGGATGACAAGAAAACCTGCTGCAGTCCACGGGGAGGAGGCTGGTGTGCCATCGGACTTGGGCAGCCATGACTGCCATTGCTGCAGTGAAAAGATGGTGGTTGTGCAATTATGAGCAAGGTCAAAGGTCCTTCGGGCGGCCTCTCATGCAAGGTGACAGGGTGTGGGTTAAAGAGCCAAATTATCAACCCCGAAATGAAAGTTACATATTATAGTTACAATGATAGATTTCAGGCTGAATGAAGATGAAGTGTTATTGTAATCTTAACAAAAAACTGTTACCTCTCTGCCACATTTTGTTGCATGAATGGCTGTCACACTCTGTGCTCCTTCACTCCGGCTGTCACCCTTTAAATGTCAAGTTAGGGTGAAAAAAAAAAAAAATGAAAAAAGGATTCTTTCACAAGATTAAAAGAGGAGCGATTTTTTGGTGGTTGCTCCTGACAGAAAATGTAAGTATCATTAGAAGTGTGATGAAAATGGAGAGGAGCTGTGGCCCTTCATAATTATCATAATGCACATGAAAACAAAAGGCTCATGTCTCAGAGGACGAGCAAGCTTATGTGGTGTCAGCTGGTAAGTGAAGCGGATCATTCCCTACCTTTTCACAGGGAAGGAAAAAACAGAGAAAGAAGGAGCGAAACAGAGATAGAAAGATTGAGGGAGGAAAAGGGATAAGCAAGACAATACACTCTGATTTTGTTGTGGAAAAAAAAACACAGAAGAAGGGAAAAAGTGGAGAAGATGAAGGACAGGCTGTAAACCATTCCTGTCGTTTCTCAATATCTGCACTTAATGTCTCGCCTTGTCAAAACGTGATGATGTGAACAGAATTGATTTCCCCCCTAACAAACAACAAAAAAGCAATCCCTCCTTTGCAGAGGTGTAAAGCAGAGCTACCCTCCCCCTCATCTCCTCTCATCTCTTACAATCTCTCAAAGGGCCTCTTTCTGGGATGAGAGATGGAGAGAGAAAGGACAGCGGGGGAAAAACGACTGCGAGGCAAGTCCATCTTCCACCGACAACTACAAACTGATCACTTAGTGCAATTAAATCTAATAACAATAATAAGATTGAGCTCAGCAATGTACCACCAAATGCACAGCCACAACAATGATTGCAACAATAATGGAGCGCCAAGGTATTTAAGGATCCAATCCTGACTTAATTATGAGAAATTAAAATGGATTTAGCATCAGAATTAGCTTGATTTTATAGGTAATTAACAGCACACCACAGTGGCAGTATAAGGCAAGCGTTATAATCTCCGTGAACGGCTAAATCAATTTGACTCGAACAACACCAACCAATCAACACAGAGAGTTGCAACCAGAAACAGCAGGTCTCGCAGATGCAAGGAGAGGGAGAATTTATGCTAATGGCTGAACTATGATTTATAAGATGTGTTCCAGCGCCGGATTCAGAGTCACGTCCACAAAACACACCACAGCACCCAGCTGTCAACGCATGCAGCTAATAGTGGCTGGATGCAACAGCCCTTCAGGAGATAGCGTAGCTATAAACAGCTCTGCGGTTTTATGATTGCATGTGGCCTTCATATAGGAGCCTTCACATGTCAGTAGCATCTGAAAGGAGAGCAGAACCGTATAAAAGAGAGACAGAGTGAGTGCATTTGGGGGTGGAGTAATGGCCTGTGCTGCTTAGTATGTGGCCTTACATCATGCATTTGTTTTGTGGTGTTGTATGTCTGTGTTGCGTGTATGTATGTAATGGCACTTGGTTACGCGTGCAGCGGTTTTACAAAAGACTGCCAATACATGTGCCTATAGAAGTGTGTGTGTGTGTGTGTTTGTGTCACAGCCTCAAACTATTCAACCCCCTGTGTGTCTCACTCCTGCCCCCTTCTCCTTGCCCCTTCAACACACGCACACAAAAAACACACACACGTACACACAGTAACAGATGGCTGATACTAACTGAGATAATCCGCCAACAGAGTCATCAGCATGGATCAGTGGTAATCAGAGTGTGGACACAATGTCTCTTCTCCAGCCGTAATGGAAGGAGCGCCTGGCGCAAGAGAGGGGAAATGCATTATTCCCCATGATGCCCTGACCCCATTCAAAGACACACGGTGGCTCCCAGCTCTCTTTCTTTTTTCCTTCTTACCACAGCCGACAAAGACTGTATCATCGCTGCTTCCCCAACATTCACTCTCTCCTCTGGATCTCTTACTCCCTGCCTTTTATTGTGATCTGCAACTGTGTCAAACGCAGACCTCTATTTAGCCGTGTCCTGCTCCGAGCAGCAAACAAGAGAAATGTCAACATAGCAAGTGTGTCATGATGAAGGTTGCTGGTAAAGAACGGGATCAGAATGAGTAATCCACCATTAGCACTTCTTGGTTAATCAGCGTATGGGAGTCACTGCCTCTTTTTACAATTTGCTTTTTTTCTGTATAGCTCAAAACAAACACACTGATTTGTTTTTACAGAACCATTTCCAGTAAATAAAGAAGTTCTTTCTGAGAATTGATAATACTCTAGTGTCCACAAGCACCTCTGCTGGTTACCAGGTGTCAATTCTCATGAATCACTCATTACCAAAAGGCACTGCACACACATGCACACACACACACACTTGCAGACAGACAGAAAGGTACTTTCTGTTACACTTCTGTTAGTGAAAGTGAGATCATTGACTGTGAATCAGCAAGAACATCTTTTATTTCTCACCTTGTATAGCTGTTGCTCAGACACACTATTTGAACTTCCCATCTCTCTTTGTATTTATATACGTTTGTGTGGGTGTGTGTTTTTGTAGGCACGAGATGTGCATATGGATGTTTGTACTTTGCATGCTTGTCGTCAATGAACACTAACTGAGCAAGATGATCTTACTTATAGCAGAGGGCACGCACAAGCTTGCTTGACCCCTTTTCCCCTCCCTGCACGCACACCGACAGCCAGGAAATGACATAACCAGGCGTCTTGGCAAAAATTAAGTGACAACCTTTGTCCAGAGTCAAACATCAACTCAGAGAACATTTAAAGAGACAGCATGTACTGTGTGATATCATGCAACACCGCTGGTTGCAGAAACTGAAAGGTCACAACAGAAATAATATGGTTTATTCTAGGGCTGTTGATAGATCATTTGGTCAATAAAATAGTGATAAATGTCCATCACAATTTGTTAAACCCCAAGGTGCAATTTTCACTGCAGCTACTTTTGTCCAAAACCCAGAAGGATAGATCTTCAGTTTATTAACGCACATGACTAAGAAAAACAGCAAAACCTCACAACCGAGGAGCTGGAACTAGGGAATGTTTGGTATTTGTAATTGAAAATGACTTTATTCATCTCTTAATTAATCATTCCAGTTCTATTTTGGTGGTGGTGTAATGGCCTGTGCTGCTTATGTTGTATCACTGTAGCTGTTCATGACACTTAAAAAAAGATCTTAATGAAGTCAATTTTAAATTCATGAAATACGTTTTTTTTATTCAATCACTGAAGCGGGGGTATTTGAAGAACTGCATAACTGCTTTGAAAACTGACAATGGACTGAGCCAAGGCCTGAAAGGAGTACAAAGAGACAGCATGCCCCAGTGTGGCCTGCCTAGGTGACAACAACTAGAGTGACTCAGACCCCTCCCTCGGCTCTGCTCCTGCCCAGTGACAGATGGCAGAGCAGGGCATGTAGGGGATGGGCACCATCTCTCACCCCGCCTCAGCTAGCCTTGGCAGTGGTGCTGGCCACAGGTCTTATTACAGCCACACCACTGCCTGCCTGCCTGTCTCCATGTAACACTGGAGCTTACCACGCTAGAGCTGCTTACTGCCTGCCAGGGCAAAAAGGTAATGATATGGTCCTGTGTGTCGCAAATGGTAGAGCGTGGCGTTAACACTGAGGAGTTTCTAGCTTCAGTATTCACTGGGCCATGTCTTAAAAAACACATGCGTATCCATGTCGCTGTAAGAGGCTTTAGATAAAATATAAAACCAAATGGCATGCCACACGCATTCTGTATATTTTGGAAATGACAAGAAATCAGCTCCTGCCAAATGGCTTTATTTGCCTTTTCAAGCATACTGTAGATGCCAAAGGCTGGAATCAACACCCCTACTCACCATCCGTCTCTGCTGGGTTCCCAGTGACAATAATGTGATTTTGGGACATGGTGATGACTCGGTGGAGAGGAATAGGATAGGCTTGTCACTTGTGTTTGATGTCAAACCTATGTGTGACAGAATAGTGTTACTCAGCTCAACCAGACATAGCACTACTCCCATTTCCTGGCCATAAATAGAAGAGAATGAGCCGGTAGTGAGTGTGTGTCTGTGTGTTTGAGAAATGTGTGCACACAAGCACACCCATATGCACTGTTCTAAGTATCATAAAGTAAGCTCAATAAGAAAATTCCCATCTCTTATGCTCATTCGCATCTGCATCCAGCCAAAGCTAATTATTCTCCCCATGGTAACCTAGCAGGGTCTTCACATCAAAAAACCAGAAGTGTGCATCAGGCAATCATCCCTGATGAATCTGCCCTTCTCCCTCTGCTAGCCACTCACACTCATCTGCCAGTCTCACTACTCATTACGGTTTTTCTGCAGACTGAACCAGATCTGCTCGCCACTGCCTGCATGTGTCTACAAGAGTCCATAATGACTTCGGAGCAGTTTGGAGCCACAGAATAACACCATCTTGATGCTCTAGAGAATATACACATACATTCATGCACAGACACATAGACACACACACACACATTCACCACATGCACTGGAGGCCAGGCGAGTGGTAAACCAATGCCTTTTAAGATTATTTAAGTATTTTAAATTTACTCTACACCAGTTTTCACAACAGAGCGTCACTGTATACCTCAATGCAAAGTGTAAAACTGTACCCCAAGGCCTTAAACATTGAGCTCAGATACTAGGTGCACAACTTGCTTCACAAGATACATCCGACATCCCAATACAGTAGCTAAAATTCTTTAGTATTTAATAACATTTGCAAATGTTTGCAAACTTCTACAGTCCCAAATCAACTAAAAACACTCATTACTTCCAGGGACATTGGCCAGTTAGTAGCACTGCAATACTGTCACTGCTATAATACTATAATTAAGAAACTGTGATATCTAGTACTTACATGTTTTGAGTCTAGAAAAAAAGATTTAAAGTAAGGCTGATGCATAACAGGCGAAATACAGGAAACTGATTCTTTAAAGTGTGTTTCAGCTGCAAACATTTTGTTTTGGACATAACCAGTCTTTTTTCTTACATATCAATAGACATCTGTATATCAGTTTTGCACTGTGTAGTTTTTCTCGGATGAAGTTACTATAACCAACATTGCTGTATGCTCTGTTGCTCTTTTA